ACCTCCGAGGTACTACGCCAAGCACCGAAAACAGTGGATCTCCTGATAGGTCTGGATGTAACACAAGTATTAGTGCCGTTAGAAGTAAGGACCGGGAAGGACGGAGAGCCGTTTGCAACACGCACCATTCTGGGCTGGACTATAAATGGACCGCTTGGAGTGGTGAGCCGTGATCAACTACTTTGTCAGAATGGCAACATTAAATTCGGAGACAATTCTGGAAAAGCAAGTCAGGAACTTCTGGGAATGCGACTCCGCCAACAGTAAGGATGATCCTGTCGAAGACAAGAGAGTCCTCATGCAGTGGTCAAGGTCAATTACTGAAGTGGACGGACACTACACGCTTCCCATCCCGTTTCACCAGGAAGAAAAGGAACACTCGGACAATAAGAAGCTGGCCGAACAGCGTTTGGCGGGACTGAGAAAATGCCTCCTAAAGAACCCAAGGCTCTCTCAGAGGTATCAAGAAGAGATGAGACGTCTAGTCGACGAGGGACATGCTGAGCGAGTCCCAAGTCAAGAACTCACTGTTACCCCCGGGAAGACCTGGTATCTCCCACACCACCCTGTGTTGAATCTCAACAAGCCAGAAAAGGTGAGAATAGGTTTTTGCTTGTGCAGCCGAATATCAGTCGATGTCATTGAACAGCCTGGTGATGCAAGGGCCAGACCTTAACGACAATTTGATGGGAGTCCTCATCAGATTCAGACAAGGAAAGGTGGCACTCATGGCTGATATCCAGGCAATGTTCCACGAAGTGTGAGTAGTACCCGAACATCGAGACGCCTTACGATTCTTATGGTGAACGGACGACCAGCTGCGAGGGGCCCCACCACTTACCGAATGACAGTACATCTCTTTGGAGGTATGTGTAGCCCTTCATGCGCCGGGTATGCGTTACAACGAACATTCCAAGATTACAGGGAAAGTCTCCATGACGACATCAAGAAAGCGAATCGTAACTTCTACGTTGACCTTCTGCTTCGCTCAGTAGATTCGCCTGGGAAGGCAACGATAATTGACTGGGGGCAACATCTTGATTCTCGTCAGCCAATATATTTATGCAGGACATTATATTTGTTCTCGTTGGTCTAACCCTAGACCCCAAAACGTGAGTGTGATTGTGAACTGTTGAATCCTCTGAGAACTCTAAATAACTTTAATAAGTGTAATTATGTACTGTATATTGATGGTATTATTCAAACTGTGTCCTGATGTACCAGCAGTTGTTATATGTGAATTGTATTCAACAGGTTTTGACCGAATTATACTCATAGCGTCAATGACAAGGGTCTTATTGTCCTGCACAAACCAAAATCGCTCCTATGAGTGAATACACATGCTACATAAATAATTTTATTGTTCATTCTTTTATTCTGGAGTGTCGTATCTTCAAGAAAGTACCGAGTTTCACCGTCACCTAATGATTAGTTTCCTAGTTAGCCTCAGATTGATTAAGCTGGGGGTAAATTTCCAGATGAGTTTTTGCTCAGCTTCTAGAATTTTTTTTTAGTCTCTGTTCGTATAAGTACAGCATTTTTAATGGGTTGAATTCTACAGGTGATTAAGGGTTAATCTTACCTTAAAATATGGACATATTTACCAAGTAGTACCCGTATACAAACTGCCAAATTATTATAATTGTATTTTTTCCGTGACTAATTACATACACACACACTTTGCTTTTTTATTTATTTTTGGGAAGGGGGAATTTTCTTTGACATCAGGCTCGTTTATTATATCCAGATACTGTTTCTTAATATTTACTTCAAATATGAGAAGCATCTATTATACTCTGACATCTTTGAGGCCTCATTATTAACCCCCATAGCTGTACACACTCCCCGGAACACTAAGAGTTACAATAGCCAGTGCTAGATTGATCAGTGATCAGTGATGTAAACTTGGCCTTGTTCATCTGTTAAAACTGCTTTACAGTCTTCACTTATAGTGTATTAGAGGTCGAGGTAATAGCCTGAGGTGAGGTGACTCCCCTACCTGAACCCCAAATTAGTCGGTTGACCTCTCCCTCCCAACAGACCTGAAAATTCATAAATGAATTTTTAGTCTTGAAAGGTCTAAACCAAAATTCTGAGATCACAGGGAAATTACTGATGTCTGTGTTTACAAATTTTCGGGGTTCTGAAAATGAGGAGAAACAACTTGATTGTTCTATGAACAATTTATTCCCTCCAAATATTGTGATTATACTTAGTACATCAGTGAATGACTGTAATATATTATAGTATCATATAATCGACAATATTGGACCAAATTATACATTAACAACAATATAAAGAAAGAGTGGTAAGGCAGAGAGCAATGATGAGGTGGGAGGGGAAATTAGAAGGAATCATAATACTATGTTCACCCAGTTCTGTAAGTAGTACTGTATTCCACAATTTTCATTTACATTGGTAGTGGGTGGGTGCAGGAGATAACGCGTGTATTACAATCATAGATTCTGTTGCCTGCAAACAAAATAACAGCTTTGGATCACAGTACACTTCAAAAGCAATACACATCTTATTCATGATCAAACTCATATTTTACGTAAAAATTCTGAATACCCATAACATGATAAAAAGTTAAGTGTATCCAGCAAAGCCTAAACAGTAAAATTGGCCTTTTCCATGAAAGGAATTTTTACAGCATCACTTAACGCCTTTTTAAAAGTTGCGAAAAGATATACACTTATGGGAAGCGGTAGATTCAGGTTGTTAATTATAAGTAACAGGTTGTGGAGCGGTGTAGGTGGCCTGGCCCTCGTAAGTGACCTGGGCCAGATAGCCAAGGTCATTGTCGGCGGTGAAGGTGACGACCTGGGTGCGGCCGTCAGGGAGCAACACTGTGTACTGGCCGTTCGTCACCAGACCATCAGAGTTCTCATTGTGGCTGTAGATGTTTCCGCTGTACTCGTCGTTCACAGCGTAAGCGAAGTTGAATGGCATTCCCTTCTGTGGGCGGAGGAAGAACTAGATCCGAAACATTCATAGCACAAGAAAAATGAACATTAGAATCAGTCATATTGTGAAAGTAAAGACTTCATGAAAGTAGTAAATACCGAAAAATGTAGTATGCATAAACTGAGGAAAATCAGTCGGAAATCGAGAGATGAAACTACAACTAAAAAACAATAGTTATTCGAGCACTATTATTGGGTGACATGAATAAGAAGGAAAAGGGCTAACAATATTGATATACATAATAAGACTATAATTATAAAATGGTAAATCATCATCATCATCATCATTGTTTTACGACCGTTATCCACACTTCCCTGGGGTAGCCAGGGTTACCTATTGTTAGATATCCACGCTGAAAGGACATTCTTTACAACCATGTCATTCTTCGCTGACCCCGACACATTCAAATAATATATTTCTTGGTTCATTTAGTCTTATCCATTCTTTCCACGTCCCGAATAATCTCACTCTGTCTTTAATCAAAACCTCGTCAATTCTCTCAATACCCAGCCGCCTCCATAGCACTGAAAACTTTATATTGGTCAATGTCACATTACACAACCACTCACCATTCCCATTCTAATTTGCTCAAGCCTGGGTATGTTATCTTCTTTAACTGTTCATGTTTGCTGTCATACAACATCACTTTATGTAGCATTTATAATTATTTGCACAGAAGAATATTTCTGCCCAATAATGGCAACAACTCTAAACTCTTCCAGTAACTAGTAACATCACCACCCTACTGATCATATCAAGGTAAGTCTTCAACAATCCATCGATGTACTACGTATGTACAACGTTGTTTTCTAGTTGCTAAGGCCTCAGCACATTAAAGAGTCTTCTAACGTTCAAAAAAAGATTTAAGATAAAAATATATCGATATAAGTAAGATATAAATTATAACGAAAATCTTTAGAATCCCATCCATGGACTTAAAAGAACATAGTGAACATAGAAAAATAGTGTTAATGTAGTCTAAAAGAAAATTAAAAATGACTCAAAGTAGTCAGGTATACGACAGAATATGATAAATACCAATGAACTTTTGATTCGTAGGTCAGAAGTCAATGATAAAACTATTCAATTAAAATATATTGTCTGTCGTACATATTACTAAATTAGTGATGCCGAAGATAAATATTTAAAAATATATATTTATGTAATAAGAAAAAGTATTAAATATTGTTAAAAGAACAGCTGAGTAGGTTATAATATAACACAAATTTGAGAAACATTTGTATACTGTACCTTCACTGTAGATATGGATTAATTGTACTGAAACGGTGACAAAGTTGAGATTTACGTACTTGTCTGATATCACCACAAGTAAGAAAATATATTAAGAACCTTACCTCATTATATGATGGCCTGGGAGTATAACCAGATGGAAGCTGTCGTGATTCCAGTGATGCATCTTGGCGACAGGAGGAATTTTGTCCATCAAAGGACACGTGGCTCCGCCAATAGACCCGGACTCTCCATAAGAGGCTCCAGACCCAGGAGACCCAAAGGAGACATCAGGATTCCTGCTGAAATATTAGCTGACCACCAGGACCCCCAACAATGTCGGTCCCTGATGCGTAAGATTGGCCCGAAACACGACTCCGGTTGCCGATCGCAAAAGCAGAATTTACAATTTCATTCGAGGACTGATATGCTGATGATGACTGAGATGTGACACCAAAGGATGCAGAAATGGCAGAGGATGTTCCATAGCTCTGGTTAGGAAGAGAGTAGGGGGAGTAGGAGCACCGTATCTTTGTGTAGGAGGAGAGTAGGAGGGTAGATGTACCGTATCTCTGTGTAGGAGGAGAGTAGGAGGGGTAGGTGTACCGTAGTTTTGTGAAGGAGGAGAGTAGGAGGGGTAGATGTACCGTATCTCTGTGTGGAGGAGAGTAGGAGGGGTGGAGTGTACCGTGGTTTGTGAAGGAGGAGAGAGTGGGGAGGGGGTATGCGGTGGCTTTGTGTAGGAGGGAAGCTATAAGAAGACTGCCTATAAGCCTATAAGAAGACGGCCTCCGTGGGTTTGCTCAGGATTTGGAGACATAGGAAGGTCCTGATGTTGGTGGACCATAGGAAGGTCTAGGTGTAGATGGACCATAGGAAGGTCCTGATGTTGGTGGACCATAGGAAGGTCTAGGTGTAGATGGACCATAGGAAGGTCTAGGTGTAGATGGACCATAGGAAGGTCTAGGTGTAGATGGACCATAGGAAGGTCTAGGTGTAGATGGACCATAGGAAGGTCCTGATGTTGGTGGAGCATAGGATGGTCCTGATGTTGGTGGACCATAGGAAGGTCCTGATGTTGGTGGACCATAGGAAGGTCCTGATGTTGGTGGTCCATAGGAAGGTCTAGGTGTAGATGGACCATAGGAAGGTCTAGGTGTAGATGGACCATAGGAAGGTCCTGATGTTGGTGGACCATACGAAGGTCTAGGTGTAGATGGGCCATAGGAAGGTCTAGGTGTAGATGGGCCATAGGAAGGTCTAGGTGTAGATGGACCATAGGAAGGTCTAGGTGTAGATGGCCCATAGGAAGGTGTAGGTGTAGATGGACCATAGGAAGGTCCTGATGTTGGTGGACCATACGAAGGTCTAGGTGTAGATGGGCCATAGGAAGGTCTAGGTGTAGATGGACCATAGGAAGGTCTAGGTGTAGATGGGCCATAGGAAGGTCCTGATGTTGGTGGACCATAGGAAGGTCTAGGTGTGAATGGACATAGGAAGGCTCTGGTGTAGATGATGAACCATAGGAAGGTCCTGATGTTGATGGACCATAGGAAGGTCCTGATGTTGGTGGACCATAGGAAGGTCCTGATGTTGGTGGACCATAGGAAGGTCCTGATGTTGGTGGACCATAGGAAGGTCGTGATGTTGGTGGACCATAGGAAGGTCCTGATGTTGGTGGACCATAGGAAGGTCGTGATGTTGGTGGACCATAGGAAGGTCTAGGTGTAGATGGACCATAGGAAGGTCCTGATGTTGGTGGACCATAGGAAGGTCTAGGTGTAGATGGGCCATAGGAAGGTCTAGGTGTAGATGGACCATAGGAAGGTCCTGATGTTGGTGGACCATAGGAAGGTCCTGATGTTGGTGGACCATAGGAAGGTCCTGATGTTGGTGGACCATAGGAAGGTCCTGATGTTGGTGGACCATAGGAAGGTCTAGGTATAGATGGACCATAGGAAGGTCTAGGTGTAGATGGAGCCATAGGAAGGTCCTGAGTGTTGGGGTGGACCGCCAAGGAGGTCCTGATGTTGGTGGACCATAGGAAGGTCCTGATGTTGGTGTGGACCATAGGGAAGGTCTAGGTGTGGATGGACCATAGGAAGGTCCTGATGTTGGTGGACCATAGGAAGGTCCTGATGTTGGTGGACGATAGGAAGGTCTAGCTGTTGATGGACCATAGGAAGGTCTAGCTGTAGATGGACCATAGGAAGGTCCTGATGTTGGTGGACCATAGGAAGGTCCTGATGTTGATGGACCATAGGAAGGTCCTGATGTTGGTGGACCATAGGAAGGTCTAGCTGTTGGTGGACCATAGGAAGGCTCTGGTGTAGAGGGGCCATAGGAAGGTCTTGCCGCAGGTGGATCATAGGATGGTCCTGATGCTGGTGGACCATAAGGTTGAGGTGTATGTGGACCATAGGGAGGCTCAGATGTTGGTAGCCCATAGGCAGGGTCAAGATCAGGTAAACCGTACCCAATATCTGAGTCAGTGCTATCAGGGACGTAGCCCCTGGGAGGGAGATAGCCCGACTGTGGCTCCGTGTAATCTAGTGGGCCTTGGCCTGGGTCTTCGCCTGGAAGCCCGAAAGGCTGGGGTGGAGACTCGTAGGAATACCCGATGCTGGGTTCGGGTTCCGGCTCAGCTAAGGCGTCAGGTGTGGCACCAGACACCCCTAGAGCAGCACCTACCGCACAACACGCAACTATCACCTGGAACATATAGAGAGGACACTCAAAACTTCTGTGTTACGGTAAAACATTTGGTGTATTAGAGTGTAAGATTGTGAAGAGAAAAAATGCTTACAGGAATCAGAAAACTGCTGTAGTATTAAGTAAAGAACTCACTAGTTTGATTAAGGCCGAACAGGGAGTTAAAGGCCACATTTTCAACATAACATGGTATTATTATCAACCTTGTGAGCCGCGATGGAGGACTAGATGCAGATCATATACTGTAGTAACGTCTGGTACTTAGTATTCGGATGATGCTAATCCAATAATTATCAATGGTGAAAAGGCATTACAAAACCTGGTCACTAGATTGTCGAAAAAGGTGAAGAATATGAACTTGCAGCTAATGCTATACAGTGGGGATTAATTATTCTTTCCAATTTAAAGATAAATACTGTAACAAATCATGGCGGGTAGTTAAACAGATGGAACTTTTCGAGTAAATGGGGTAATATATTGTGATGACAGATTTGAGAAAGAAATGAAAACAAGAATAGGTCAAGGAAATTTTTTTGGGTGGGGGGGGGGGGCTATAAGATTACAAATGAAGGTATAATTGTAGATTCATCAACGCGTAAAATTAACTTGTTGTCGACGCACACATTACTACAAGTAAACCTCCGCCGGAGCGCCACTAATAGGTCACAGTAGTTAGTTGACTTCAACTGTTGAGCATATAGTCAGAGACCTGGGTGGATCCCTGAGACTCCCGGGAAATGTTTAACTATAAGCATCGTGTCTCATCAAAAGGGAAGTACTAGACCATGGGAAAATATTAGGAAGTGATGAACTTGCGATCCATCTAGTGGCTACAATTACCTTGGTATTGACATTGCTTAAACAGACTGATACGTGGGAATTTATGAACAATTAATGGCAAGAATCTGTTACTAAATTCTCAAAGATTCGTATATTATTTTTTTCTAACAAGTGATGTGAGAGTAGACTGGATGACATAAATAAGACTACGGCACAAAATGTGTGACCGAAGATGCATGAAAACTGGTGGTTGGAAGAAAAGGCAATTGATTGAAAATATTTCCTAAATTGTGACTAGTTCCGCAGGTACTATATTTATATAACAAAATGAGAGAACAATGCAACAATATTTCTGAAACAGTATATTAAGGAAAACAGTAATGTGATATATATATATATATATATATATATATATATATATATATATATATATATATATATATATATATATATATATATATATATATATATATATATATATATATATATATATATATATATATCATGTAAATCACAATGAGAAAACGTGGATAAAAGATAAATCTTACGATAAAATCACACGCGAAAATGAAACAACGGAGTACCTTAGCTTTCGTCATTCGAACATCTTCAAACCTTTCTGAAGATGTGTGATAAAACCTCCAATTGACCTATTTCCATCTATTTTATCAGATATATATATATATATATATATATATATATATATATATATATATATATATATATATATATACTCACTACAAGCGCCGCGATATTATGTAACGTCGATTTATTTAAGGATCTTGACCACCACAACAGCCACGCCACGCCACTCTCTTTTTGTTTGCGGTTCTCCGTCGCAAAATCTTTGTGAGCGTTGGTCGTTTACACATATCTTGTGATCAACCGCTGTAGCTTTTATGAATTGTTGCGAGTAGTAGATTTTATGGGATGACCATGATTACGATGGGGCTTAGGTAAAGTTAGATTAGGTAAGAATAGGTTAGGTAAGGTTAGGTTAGGTTAGGTTAGGTTAGGCTACGTTAAGTGAGGTTAGGTTAGGTAAAGTTAAGTTAGGCTAGGTAAGATTAGTTAAAGTTATGTTAGGTTAGGTAGAGAAGTTAATTTAGGTTAAGGGAAAGTTACGTAAGGTTATGTTAGGTTAGGTTAGGTTAAGATGGGCTATTTGTGTTCAACTGAGTGAAATGATGACCTGGTAGTGAAGCTGGCAAGTATGTGGCGCAATCAAGTGCCTGTGGATAAGTTAGGTTATGTCACTCATGGAGGAGGAGTAACATCTAATCACTGAAGTAGCCAGTTTATCGTGAGTAATGAATAGTGATCATTTTATTTATATTAACTATTGTTTAGATAGATAAGTCAAACTAGTTACTTATTAAATTATTTAGATACTAGGGGGGTGTGGGGCCCAGCGCAAGTCATCAGTACCAGGCCCCCTTTAGGGCCTTTGCCCTATATATATATTATATATATATATATATATATATATATATAAACAATAATATGCAGTCGTGAAATTTATACAAGTATATCACTGTAGGTGCATTTGATCTAGGTATATGCTGATATACAAGGAAAGAAAGAAAACACAGTTCCCAAGAAGCGCTTTTTCGTGTAATTCACATCTTCAGGGGTAGTACAGACTATATATATATATATATATATATATATATATATATATATATATATGTATAACTATATATATATATATATATATATATATATATATATATATATATATATATATATATATATATATATATATATATATATATATATATATATATATATATATAAACAATAATATGCAGTCGTGAAATTTATACAAGTATATCTGGGTTTATTAAAGTAATGGACACAGGAAGTAATTTTTCAATATAACAACACAAAATATAGAGAAAAATGTAAGAGGTATGTAACCCCAACCGTCTGTGGTAACTGTTCTAGGAGTTATGAAAATACTTATAATGCGATAGGGGATACAAAAGAAAAACAATAAACTAAAGAACTGGCGATATTATTGTGTGCATATACACAGAAAACAAAATATTATTTTAAATTGATTTGTAATCTAAACAAGAGAAATGTCAAAGGACAGTCTGGACGTAATGAAAAACTTCATGGTAACATAATTTTTGACTAAAAACTAATAAAATATATCAAAACTTCCCATAAAGTATTTGCAAAGTACTAGCAGAAACAGCCGACTTTCGAAAATTAACCTTCCGTGCTTTCTTTCCAGCAAACTCCTCTGAGTTTCTGACAGCAAAAACTTACTGTCGGTTCCTTTTCCAGGGAGAGCATAGGTATTCTACTCAACTTCTCTTGAGACATAGATATCCTTAGATAGTTTTTTTTTATCAATTTGAGTTTAGAAAAATTTCGCTCCCTGATGCCACTTTGACTGTGAACAAAATCCGAAACGCGATTTCTGCATTAGGGAAGGAACCATTGAGAGAGTTTTGAAACTGAAGGACTTGACGTGTATTTTTTGTGTCTTTGGCAATGAGTTCTCGGAGTACTCGAAGCTCTGAAAACAACTCGACTTCGTCAATATCGTGAGCTTTCTAGCACTCAATGACTTATTCAAAGCAGACTTGTGCTCATCTAGGTACTACACAGCTGCTATAATACGTGTTAGAACCGATCGCCAATGTTCATTTTCTTTATTCAAGTCTTGTAACATGCGTGTATCTAAGGTAGTCATTGAACACCTTTTCAATGACTCCTATCCATTTGGAGAGCGCGAGGTCTGGGGCAACTCGTCACCCCCCTTCGAGACGGCTCTGTGTGCGTGATACATGACTAACTATTTAACAATATCCTCATCAGCTAGTTGTGAGAGCTAGTCCTAGTTGTATAATAATACCTTCACCAGTTGGTTGGCAAAACCAGCACTAGTAATATAATCATGCCATCACCAACTTGTTGTGAGAGTGGGTGTACTAGTACTATAACATTACATTCACCAGCTAGTTGCGAGAACTAGCACTAGCAGCATAACAATATCTTCACCAGCTTGATGTGTGAACTAGTACTGGTAGTATAACAATATTTTCATTTTGTTTATGCCACGTGAGTCAAGCCAAGTGTCTAACGCCCTCGGTTGTCCAGTATTTGCTTCAGACTCGGGGGTTGACGTGACTGACTCTGAGAACTGTTATAGGCTCGCGAGAATGAGCTGGTTGATCACTGGTTGTACGTTGTATCCATTCTTTTGATCCAACAGTAATATAAATATTAATTATAACGATAATTATAATTGCACGAGTTTTCTGCGTGGAAAGAGGAGCGTACCTGTATCAGCCACATTGTAGACGGCGGAAGTCGAAGTGAATGTAAACTTAGCCAGCAACTCCTTTTATATACTCGTCATTACCTGGCGTTAGGCAACTCACGCACGCACTTCTCGATGCTCTTTACATGTATATCCACTTTTCATTTCCACACTGCCGCTAGGATCACATAGCCGCTTTATTTATAAATTGAAAACGGAGAAAACTTGTTATTTACATGTACTAACTTTTGAATAAGTAAATTTACACCCTTTAATATTCATATTAATCTTGTTCTTTGAGCATGTACATTATAGTTAAGTATTTAAAGTAGTTTTAATAAATTTTCTTTATTTCGCTTTACTATATTTTATCTTCCAAGTGCGTTCTTTTAACCTATATATATATATATATATATATATATATATATATATATATATATATATATATATATATATATATATATATATATATATATATATATATATACACCTTCTTTTTCTTGGCCTTTTCTTCTTAAGTCAGTAGGTTTACGTTAAGTTTGTTCCTTATTTCCGGCCAGGATCTTATATCTTAAATTTAACTCATTAAGTTCTTAGAATAAACTAGCATAGCTTCTTAATCCTATCATATACTGTATAGCATATTCCGCTGCATTCGTCACAAATCATGTGTTTTTTGTGATAATTTTTTAAGGAATTGTGAGACATTTTCACGGTATTCAATATTATTATACGCGTCTAGTATCCAGAATGACAGAATTCTGATTGTGGGATCAACATCATAGGAAATTCCACAAGAATATAATGTAAATTACTAGCACGCTTTCTCCTATAATCTTTTCACAACATAACTGGACAAAGACAAATAAGAAACTCGCGCTATCACTCACACTCATCAGTGTTATTTCGGAAGAAAATACTTAATCATTCCTCTAGTGTGGTGTAGAACACACAGCAGTTATGTTATGGAAAGGTAGTGTGCAATACTATATACAGTATATAACATGCGAACTTCCATATATATATATATATATATATATATATATATATATATATATATATATATATATATATATATATATATATATATATATATATATATATATATATATATATATATATATATATATATATATATATATATATATATATATATATATATATATATATATATATATATATATATATAAATCAATACCTCACTAGCAAAGATTCGAACCCAGGACCTCTGTCGGTGACCAAGGATCGCCACCACGGCGCCACAAGGACAATATAACCAATAATAGACTTTGTTATATTTCACACAAAGCCTGTTCTATCGTGCTACCATCAGCGCCTTCAGCCTTCACTGGGGATTGCCTAACCTAACCTAACCCATATTGAAGTCCGCGTGCTATTTGGACTGATGTGATATACAGTATATGTAACCTCTCGTTTCGTAGCTGGATTCGGTAAAATGCTACTCCGACCACATAGTTGGCACGGGCAATCCCCAATGGAGGTTCATGGCTTTGTATCACACGCAGAGGTCCATGGTTCGAATCCTTCCTATTGAGGTATTGCTTGTATATTGAAGTCCGAATGCTGTATGGGCACATGATATATATGTATATGTATGTATGTATGTATATTAACCTGCCACGTCAACTCGATACAGTTTATTTCGGTCAAATCTGTCAAATACAAATAATCAATTTCCAAGAGGGAACTGAAGGTTCAGTGACATCATATATGAATACATTTTCTTAATATTAGCACACAAATGAGTACATTATCTTAATAGTAACACAATATAAGCTGCATATCATCAGAAGTTGCTCAATTAATATTCTTCACGTCCACAATGAAACATAATAGGTTTACGAGTACACTTAGGTGTTGCAGGTCTGGCTCAGAGCAGAAAGCCTCGGTGTGTTTAGGGCGATCAGTTGAGAGGTACTGGTGGTTATATGTTAGCGCCTCAAGACCCGGGTAAGTACATCAAGCTGAATCAGCATAGTCTACCCCCTGGCTTCATTATAGTAGGACTGAATCAGCGCCTGTTCTCTTGTTACAACAAACAACACTCCTCTTCCTACTCCCATACTGGCCGCTGCCTAGCGAAGTGATAACACTCCCTCCATTTGGCGATCACGCCCAAGACAACAAATGTCAGGGAATTATTAATTTGCACCCCCTTCCGGTAGACACAATTTGGTCACTAGGCGAATCAAAATGGTGCGTACAGTCTTTAACTTAACCCGACGTACTAGTCCATCATCGCTAGGCATCGCCTCTACTATTCTACCTAGGTGCCATTGGTTCCTCGGCAGTGGTTCTCCAGTCACAATGACCAGGTCGTTTTGTTGAAAGTTGTGACGAGGTTTGAGGTGTTTCTGCAGCTGACGGGGCAGAGGTAGGTATTCCTTGAGCCAACGCTTCCAGAACTGATCCACCAAGAACTGCTCATGTTTCCACCGTCTGTGGTATACTTTCCCAATACTAAAGCCTCCCAGAGGGAGATCGGTGCTCTGCTTCATGGGCAAAAAATGTGAGGGTGTGAGGGCCTCTAGGTCCCTGGCATCTTCTGAGACTGGCGTAATAAGCCGTCAGTACACCACTGCTTCCGCTTCACAAAATAGTATAAGGAGCCATTCGTCGTCTAGGACCTGTGAGCCACAATTGCCCTGAGGACTTTACGTACAATTCGAATTTGTCGTTCCCACACCCCTCCCATTTGTGAAGCTGCGAGAGGATTGAACACCCATTCTATCTGTTTCCTTAGGAAAGTGTTTTTTACGTATTCACTATTCTCCCAGCTCCGTGCTGCTGCTCAGAGCTCCTTGTCGGCAATGACCATGTTGGTTCCAATGTCAGAATGAATGCGTTCAGGAATTCCCCTGAGAACCGGCAGCCGTCTCACTGCATTTAGGAAGGCGTCGGTATCAAGTGAGGACAACATTTCGAGGTATATGGCTCGTGTGGTCAAGCTTATGATGATTCCTCTCCTGTTTAACGAGGAAGCGTCCGAAGCAGTCTATCCCCCTTTGCAACCGATGCCATGAAGAATATCTAGACCAAAGCCTTTGCATGGACTCCTCTTCTTTGTCGATGTTTGTGATCAATGTGGTCACGCTCTATTTTACCTCCGGATCGTCTATCAGTTCATGCGCCAGCTTTTGATTTTCTTCAGACTGCCAAAGGAATCCAGGTCCCTGTATCCACCTCCCCTCCCCCCTCTCGTGCATTTCTTCAGCTGATAGCCCTTGGGTTGCATCATCAACTGGGTTTAAATCTGTGCCCATATGATGCCAGTGATTTGCATTCGACAACTCCTGTATGGCAGCGATTCTATTTGCAACGAATGTATGGAAGCACCAATGGGTATTGGAAATATATTGGAGGAAAAACATACTGTCGGTCCAAAACACTGACCTTTCAAACTTCATGCTCAGCTCTTTTCTTATTAATTTGTCGGAATTTGCGGCTAATACGGCTGCACAGAGTTCCAGCCGAGGGATGGTGTGCCGTTTCAGGGGTGCCAGTCTTTCTCTTCCCTACACAA